GCGTCGAACGTCTGCTCCCTAGTGGTCAGTGTGCATCATAGTAACTGGTCGTTCTGCCATTCGGTCAATTTGCATATTAGGCTTTTATTATATAGGATAACCAGTGAGAAGCCAGGAGGACAAAGACACATCATAGCGACCGGCCGTTCTGCTGTTTGGTCGATTTGTATATTAGGTTTTTATTATATAGGATATTGACCATACACACACCCTTGAATAGGATCTTGGGGACCTTTTCTACATTTTGACAGCCACTGATCAAGAGAACCTGTTTATGTTGATTTTAGTAACTGTAACATATTACAGCTGATAAGTGCTAGGAATGGAGTTAAAAAAATAAAGGAATTAATGCAGGATCAGTGCCATGGAGTAGTTAATGGTAAATAATAGTAAGTTGACCAACCAATCTACAAACTTGTTTCATCTTAGATTTGAGAGGAGTTGGGTCTCTTTCTATTTCTGAGTTGTACATAAGTTTATGTGTGGGAGTTAATGGTGTTTAAGATATATTGAATTAAACATTTCATACATTTAAAAGGTCATTACCGAGAAGTTTGTTTGATTTTTGTGCATACTTTCCATTGTTTTGGGTCACTTAGCCCTGAAGCTGTCTTTTCTCCCTTGCACATCCCCCTGCCTACAATGGAAGTGTGAAGAGCTGTGTATTTGCATTTTCAGCCACCCTTGCAGCCAGGCTGCAGTCATGTGACCTAGGCTCTGCCAATCAGATACCTCCTTTCAAACTTTGGAACAGAAACTAGTGACCTGAAGAACTGGAGGTGGCTCCCCATGTTTTCCAGGGCAGCAGCGGGTGTTGCTGGTGGAAGCTGCAGGCTCCCCAACCCATCAGACAGGTGCTGCTGTGTGAAGTGGGGTGATCTTCCTGGATATGGAGCCTCCAAGCCTGGTTTCTCTGGTCTTCCTGAAAATTTTTTTTTATAAATAATTTTTTATTTTCCAATGACAGTAACCCACAATATTCTTCCTGGAAATTTGTGATCTTTCCATTATCCTCTGAATTCAGGAATCAGTGCTTTTACTTACAAGAATCCTGCTTGATACATTCTCAAATGCAGTGTCTCTAGAAGTATTGTTTGGAAACCTCCTGTGTCAAAATCACCTGGGCCACATCCTAACATGTGGTGCCTATTCGTGGGCTTAAAACTGATGGGTTCAGAACCTTGTGGGGGAGTTCCAGGAGACTGCATTTGTAAAAAGTTCTAGGTTTACAATGGGGGAAAGGGAGGACATATGTAATATTTTCAATAATAAAGATTTTAAAAGGAAAAACAAAATAAAAACAAGTCCCAGGTTTCTGTAATTTTTAGATAAAGTAAAATTTAAAAATCACTGGGTCTTATGTTTCCAACTTCTTAAATGATTTTTTTTCTGTTTAAAGATCTGAGTAACCCCAGAAGGCTTTGCAAGACCCTAATCAATGACTAGTATTTCCTTGTTCCATTCTCTTCCCACCCAGCTCCAAATTCCCCAAAAGCCTCATTGTTCTGTCTCTTTAATACTTGTAATGTCTTTTTTTTTTTCATGGTTTATTTCTTCTCACTGAGGTGGTAATTCCCCAAATGGGATTGCCTACATTCAATGGTGCCTGAATTAATTTGGGTTTTAAACTACACTGTGACCATGACTCTCTCTCCAGGTTATCTCTTTCTGGTGCGTTTCTGCAACCTGCAAGCTTGGATCTCCAGGGATCACTGGAGAGAAGGAAGGGGAAAGTCTAGAATATGCCGTGTGACTTTCCTTGAAAGATTTTTTCAGCCATGGATGTAGGCCAAAAAATAACAGATGGGTTGAATGATCTACTTCTGAGATTTCTAGAATCACAGAATGTTATAACTTAAAAGAATGTGGCTTAACCCTCTCATTTCATAAATGAGGAACTGATGAGGAGGTCTGTGTCCATCATCACATCAGTGACTAGTGGCATATACAGGCCCAAATACTTTTAGAAGAAGTAGGAAGTGGTGATGCAAAGCTTGATCTCAACTACCATAAAGAAGGAGGAGGCTCACATTTGAGTGATTCTTTGAACTTGGGTATATTCACTTAACATCTCTGAGCCTCAGTTGCCTCAACTACAAAATAAAGATTCTAATAATAGTTAAGATTTATAGGATATTGGCTGTGTGCTAAGGACTATTCTAAACACTTTTATATGTTAATTCATTTAATCCTCATCACAACTGCATGACAGAGGTACTATTATTTACCCCATTTTTCAGATGAACAGAAAGGGCATTTAACTTACCTGCAGTCACACAATTAGTATATTTGTTTTCTATTGCTGCTTTACAAATCACCACCAGCTTCATCACTTCATTATCTCAGAGTTTTGTGGGTCAGGAGTCTGGGGATAGCTACGTCTTCAGCTTGGGGTCTCACAAGGCAGCGTTGGAGGTGTCCAGCAGAGTAAGGGTCTCATCTGAGTCTTTTTTAAACCCACGAGGTTATAGGCAGAATTGATTTCCCCGCAGCTGTGGGACTCATGGTGGCTGAGTCTTCAAGGCCAGCAGGAGAGTGTTTCCCTCTTTGAAAGGTCTCACCTGATCACGTCTGGCCCACCCAGGAGAACATCCCCTTTGGTTAACGTAACATCAAATGTTTAGGGGCCTTAATGTATTTGCAAAATCTCTTCTTCTTTGCCCTACAACATACATAAACATGAGAGGAATATCCCATCACCTTTGCTATGTTCTATTGATTAGATGCCAGTTACAGGTCTTGTCCACACTCAAGGGGATGGGAGTTGACCCATGGATACAAGGGGCAGGAATCACAGAGTCATCTTAGAATTCTACCTCCATAGCTGGTAGGGCTTAGCTTAAGCCCAGACTGACTTAAACGACGAGTCCATGGTCCCTGAGTTCATGCTCTTAACCACTATGATCGTTCTCACTTTGAAGAAAGTAAACCCACTTAATAACCTTGCATAGGATTCAGAGTAAGATAATGCCCAGCAGATTCATTCTGGGTGGTAGGCAATAATTAATTTTCTTCACACCTCCACTTTCAAGAAACCATAACCACCTGCAGGTTTGTATTTTCAGGAAGTTATTTCCAACGGTCGGTCGGTCGCTCTAAAAAACTGAGATTATTAAAGTTACTTCAATTTGTTCATATTCTTCTGAGGCAGACATAAGCCTCAAGTTTTAGATTTGAGGCAGGAGTCCTTAAAAAAATAACCCGAACCTGGCCGGGATGGCTCAGTGGTTGAGCTCAACCTATGAACCAGGAGATCATGGTTCGATTCCCTGTCAGGGCATATGCCAGGGTTGCAGGCTTGATCCCCAATGATGATTCTCTCTCATCATTCATGTTTCTATCTCTCTCTCCCTCTCCTTTCCTCTCTGAAATCAATA